CAGTAAAAACTACAGTGATGCGTATTTGTAGTTCTAATCTATAATTCTAAAGGCCAGCTCCTTCCTCAGAGCTCTGCCATAGTAAAAACTACAGTGATGCGTTTTTGTAGTTCTAATTTATAATTCTAAAGGCCAGCTCCGTCCTCAGAGCTCTGCCATAGTAAAAACTACAGTGATGCGTTTTTGTAGTTCTAATCAGCTGCTCGGCCCTGCTGTGCTTCGTTGCTATGGTAATTAATCCTCTGCAACTGTCATGTGTGTGAGACAGAAAGAATTCTATCTTTGTGAGACACCCAGTCAGTTTTCACTGAAAAAAGCAGCCCGAACAACTGCTTCCCATTCGGAAACCGTGATACGTATCGGAAAACCGTTTGAAGCGTATGAGAGGGCTATCTTTCGTCTCCGATAGTCCCGCTATTCATATCTGTACATCACTCACATTAATAACAGCGATGAGATAAAAATGTTGTGCGCTGAGGTCTGACATTTAACCCTAACCCTAACCCTAGTAGAACTTTACAATGAATGGGATTAAACGAGTTCATTCTGCTATTGAGAAAAATGAACCCATCTCCCCTGCATCACCTGATGCAAATTCGGCGGTACCTAAACCGATCAATATCTTTGAGATAATGGCGTCAACTCCAATAGTGAATAAGGCCTGGCTTGCTGAACAAGAACCCGCTATTGTGTATGAGATCCCAATAGTGGTGAATCCTAACCTGCAACCTGTGAAGGGTAAACCTACAAGCTCACCTTCATTGCCTAATGCATCAACCTCAGAAACGCCAGATAAAAGAGAAATATTGACGAGCGGGACATCTGTTCTATGTGAGACACCAATATCCATCTATGACGACTCAAGGCTGGGATCGGATGCTTCCAGGAAATCGACATATTTTTTATGTTGTGTACAGAAGCCGGTATGGGGAACCCTTCAGGAAGACTGGTCTTTGGAGCCTCACGGATTTTGGGGTTCATGGGGTTACGTCTTTTGATATGAAACTGGGGAGCTTCTCTTCTCCCAACTGGATAAGGACGAGGAGCTTGCACGTATAACGAATACCTGCAGCCTTACCCTTACCTATAATGACTAGTAGGTTCAGTGAAAATTCAGTGAACCTACTACAGTTTTACACTTTACAACTGTTGCGTTTTTATTTTTTTTTTTACTGTTTAAAACATCACAGTTTCCAAAAACTATGGGTTCAGGGTCACATCAGTCAAACAAGATAATTCAAATAGGCCACATTCAAATGCAAAAAAGAAGAACAAAAAAATAAATCCTATGCCATTCAATTTAAAGAATGGCAATTTAAGGCTGGCTTTTCCTCGTGCCAATGAAGAAATGGAATTACGGTGCTCGGAGGAAGATACAGAAGAAGAAGAAGATGAAGCTGACCCTCGATCTGCAAAGAAAACCAGAAGACAGTGCTTCCCGACCGATACTGAAATTGGAAGGGGACGAGTTCTCTTCAGCGCCATATGGGAATCGAAAACTACTGAATCTGGCCGCTGGTATTTTCGGGCAATATGGAGGAGAGGTGAGAGGCAAAATTCCTCAGAAATGTTTGTCTTGGAGGCTTTCAATTTGGACTGTGGCATATTCAGAACCATGCTGGCTCTCCCATTTGATGCCTGGTCTGAGAAAATGATGAAAGTCGGGGATAGAACTTCCAATCTGTTTCGGGATTCTTGCTGCTGGCTCGATGTTCTGTCAGTGAAGAAAACGCTGTCGTTTCCTGTCCACCCCCAGCCCCTGAGGCGGATCCTCTTCTGAGGACCCGCCCACCTACCCTCCCTAAACCTTATATATATAGGGAAGGGTTGCAAGGATTTCAGATACCAGACCTCAAGAATGGAAGAAGCAGGACGTTATGGACCATGGGGGACATACTCGGGGGAGCCCTGTTATTCGACAGAGAGCCTCTTCTGCCCGCCATCTCCCGGAAGCTACAACATGGATCCATATCATCTACCTTCTCCTGTTTTGTATTCCTCTTCTTCGGAATCATCTCCTGCTCTCTCTCCTACCAATTTTCTGATACCAAGTACCATCGCTGAAGAGGGGATCCCTCTAACATCGGCGGCGGCAGAGGACTCTGGAGACCCCGCTACCGGCTGTAGCGGCTCTACCTGCTACCGGCTCTATCGGCTACTCACAACCTCCAGCACTGGCGATGGAACATTCTGGAGAGTCTGCTACTGGCTACAGCCAACCCCCGCCTTCTCCCATGGAACAAGAACAACAAGAAGATGAAATTGACGGTTGGATACAGAGTACGCTAATTGCTAATGTAAAAACAGCCTTGCTGCATCTATTCAACTTGATTTGTGTGAAATATGTCAAGGAAACCTGTTACGGTTGTAAAATTCAACACCCCAATCAAAAGCAGCATCAGTGTTTAGAAATACCTGAGGAAGATTACTACCAGCTCAACTTTCATCACATCAAGCGGTGACTTCTAACTCCACGCTTCATACCGGCTGTCCAGCAGCTCCTGAGCCACCGCCGCATTCAGGCAGAGGATGCAAAAGTGAAGCATCCTCTTCACTTTTTTACACAAAAAAGTGAAGAGGATGAGACTGTTTTACACAAACTCAAATCGGCAAACGGAATCCAATCCGCAATTAATGAGATGTATCAAAATATGGATGGTGATGAAAACATCAAGCAACTTCGCTCTGTTTCAGAATGTTACACTCTGAATGAAAAGTAATTGCTCTCTCTCTCTATCTATCTCTGTAGTATTATCTTATTCAGTGTAATTTTCTAGTTCTATAGATTTAGTTTAAGTATTTTTTTTCATACTTTCATTATTTTTCATCTTATTATGCATGTTTAAATATTTGTAATCGTTACTAGTTGATTTATCTTTTTTAAAATGACAAAGTTTTCTATAGATTTAGTTTAAGTATTTTATTCATACTTTCATTATTTTTCATCTTATTATGCATGTTTATGTATTTCTAATCGTTACTGATTTTTTTCTGTTTGTGTCATGCTTGGTTCAAGTTTATTAACCCACATGCAAGAACACGATCAGGAGCGGCAGAGATGAATGTAAAAATATTTATTGTAACCAGGGAACGGGAAAGCAGGAGTGAATATGGGATCAGATGACCGGTTCGTCTTACTGTCAACGAGAAGGGACAGATTAGCTGGATGGCAACAGATGCGTCTTTCCAAGGTAAACAGGTAGGTCTTACTTGAAGAACTGTGGTTGCAGGTTGGCGTCAGAGGAAGAGGACTGGTTGGAGGGCGGACAGGCAGGAGATCCAGAACGTGGCGATAGAGCGTCAGGGTTCACGGTGGAGAATGCTTGTATCTTTCTGAGCCGATAGCGCAGTCAGAAGCAATGAGGATACACGGGTTACCTGGCGTGAGTAAACACAGGAGTTATCGCAGAGTAGAAACTCAGAGGGCCTTTGCATGAAACGTACGTTACCGAAGTAAACAAACACTCAGGCGAGGAAGCGAAGTGCAGCTGCTCCTAAATAGCCCGACCGCGGCTCCCAAATCCGCCACAGGTGCATCCACGGGGTCGGCAGGGCTAAACTCCAGGGCTCAGTCTCCAGGCGACCTCTGGTGGAGGCCACGGAGACTAGCAGAAGTTCCAGGGAGGGGAAAAGAAACAACAACAAAGGAAAACGAAAAAAACAACAAAAGAAGCAGATCCTGACAGTTTGTTTTTTTAATAAAAAAAAATTTACCAAGTTTTATAACTATTTGACTAGCATTAAAAAAAATCTTTATACATGTATTATCGGTTAACATTTTATTGTAATTTCTAGAAAATAAAAGTATTGTTTATGACTTCTCAGTATTCAAGAAAAAAAATTCTTTGTAATTTCAACTAAATAAATGTTTTGTTTATGACTCCTCACTATTCAAGAAAAAAATAAATAAATCCTTTGTACCACGATCTTATTTCTCATTATTTAAGAACCGCTCACTAAAGCGGTCATTTTAAAGGATGGCGGAGAAAAGGTTAATGAAGAAGGTGTATTACACTCCGTCACATCCCAGTAGTTTAGGAGGAATCGAAAGATTGAAAAGAGCTTTGGAGGATGAAACAGGGAAGAAGGTTAAGACGGAAAAAGTCCAAGATTTTTTATCTGAAGAAGACGCGTACACTCTTCACAAACCTGCACGCATTCATTTCCCGAGAAACAGAGTTTTTGTCACGAGGCCTTTAAAACAGTTTCAAGCAGACATTTGTGACATGTAAGCCTTGGCTGAGGAGAATGATGGTTATAATTACTTATTAACGGTCATTGACATATTTTCTAAAAGAGCGTACGTACCAGTTTTAAAGAGCAAGACCGCTGACGAAGTGGTAAAAGCCTTTGAATCAATTTTCAAAGACAGTATGAGTCCTAAAAAACTGCAAACAGATGCGGGTAAAGAATTTTTTAACAAAAAATTTAAAGCTTTAATGAAAAAGCATGGTATTGAGCATTTTGCCACAGCGAGTGTAGTAAATTCCCTCAAACGAAGGAATCCTTAGAATGCTAGAAGAAATGAGCTCGAAAGAAGGTACTTGAGATAGGGAGAGAATTCGCGTGGAGAGTACGGAGAAGGCTTTGAAGGATGGGAAGAGTGATGGGTTTGCGATCGTCGGGGTGTGCAGGGAGCTGGTTAGAGATACCTTTCAAAAGGACCTTAATGGTGTGATCAGAAAAGAGACTGCGAGGGGACGATGGCTGGTGGAGCTGTGAAAAGAAGTTAATGCCCGCTAGAAGGCTGCGAATATAGGAAAGCTTGAAGTGAAGATGGACGAAGCAGTGGGTAATGAAGGCGACGACGGTATTGGTGAGGACCGGAAAAAGAGGGATCCCGTGGGATAGGCAGAATTTACTGAATTTTCCCCAGGCGAAGGAGTAAGATTTGAGCGTAGAGGGTGCTAGACCGCTCTTGATGAGAGATCAAGCAGAGTGAAGCAGAGGTAGGATAGAAGGAGGAATTAATTCAGGGTGAGGTCCTCCAAGGGGGGAACCGGGATCGGGAGAGGGTTGGCTGAAGGACAGAGGTGCCCACGGAAGATTTAAAATTGGACACGAGAGAGAGAATCGGCAATAGAATTAGAATAGCCTGGGACGTGGCGGGAGGTTAAGATGAAATTGTGAATCACAGACTGCCAGGTGATGCGACGAAGAAAAGGCATGATAGAGGGAGAGGAGGATCGGCCTTTGTTAATGGCATCGACGACTGCTGCGTTGTCGCACATGGCTACGATGCGCTTGCGTTCCAATGAGCTTCTCCAAAGGCAGCAAGCGGCTGCGATGGGGATGATTTCGTAAAAGGCGGAGGACTCTGACTGCAGGAACGAGGTGGGCCACTTTTCTGCGAACCACTGGCCTTGGAAGAACCTGCCGTAACCTGCTGACGGGGCGGTGTCAGTGTAAAACTGAATGGAAGCGGCAGAGAGAACGATGTCGTCGTAAAAGAATGAGATGCCATTCCAGTGGTTGAGCAGTTTGGACCAAAAGTGAAGATCGGAGCGACATCCGTCGTCTAGAGAGACCTGGTCTAGCAGGGAAGGGACCGAGTTTGTGAGGTCGAGCAGCCGGGAGATGAATGAGCGCCCCTGGGGAATTATACGCATGGCGAAATTGAGGTGTTCGAGCAGGGATAAGAGCTGGCGTTTGGTAATTATGGAGGATGAAAGGTGGGCTTGAGCTGTCTCACGTATATGGGCTAGCTTGTTGGTTGGCAGGGATGCTAACATCTTCTCAGAGTCCAGGGAGATGCCGAGAAATTCCATCACGGTAGATGGACCGGCAGTTTTGTCCTCGGAGAGAGGGACACCGACCTGCGTGAAAAGGTCCTTTAGCTTCTGAAGTGAGTGGGAGGGGTGGGAAGGTGGGTCGATAAGGAGAAAGTCATCGAGGAGGTGAAGCACGGAGGGAAGCTTGGTGACGTTGAGGAGGATCCAGCAAAGCGCTTCGGATAGCATGTTAAAGAGACCAGGACTGCTCCTACATCCGAAAGTCAGACGCACAAAGAAATAGAATTTGTCATCCCACTTAGCACCTTGCAGGTGCCACTGGGAGGTGGCACCACGCTTTTAAGATCATCATCCAGCATGATCTTAAAAGCGTCTGTGATGTCGGCTTTTGCCAACCAGGCGCCTCGTCCGGTGCTTTTAATAAGTGAGAAAGCGTGATCCACGGTGGCGTAAAAAAGGGAGAAGGGAGGCTTCGGGATGAGACTGTTAATGCTGGGGTGAGGGCCGGAATGGGGAGCTGCGAGGTCCAAGATGAGGCGTTTCTTGCCTGAATATTTCCGAGTAGCAACGCCTAAAGGATTAATGCGAAAAACTGGAAATGGGGGGGGAATCAAAAGGGCCGATGACGTGACCCTTAGACAGTTCCTTAGAGAGCAGCTGAGAGACTATGTCAGGCTCATAAAGGGCTGACTGAAGATTGGGAATAACGAGAGAAGAGGTGGGGGGTTGAGGGACACCTATAGAAAATCCTTGGGAGAGACCGGTGATCAAAAAATTAACGAAAGTGCGATCGGGATGTCGTTGGAGGAGGTTGGCTAGTTCGATGGTGAGGATGGGAGTGCGGAGGTAAAGGGAGACTAATTTCTGGAATCCCGTTTGCTTCTGCCTGGGAATGGGCGGCGGGGACAGACGGACTTTGGATGGGGGTCCCTGCAGAGACTGCATATGTGAAGGAAGGAACAGTTAGGGAATGAACATATGCTTTCGTTGAAATTATTGCAAATGGGCATGTTGTTGAATACCTTCACTTCCCGCCCGTAGCGGTCGCGGGTTGAGGAAGGCAGGAGAGGCTGGGGGGGCGGCAGCAATAGGCATGTGCTTTAAAGGGATTGAGGGACTTATCTGGTGACCGACGGAGCCGCACTGAAAACATGGGATGGATTGTGTAAGCATGATGAGGATTTCCATGTCCAGAATGGACCAGTTGAGAGACTGACCAGAATGGGACAGGACGGCAGCGGCTTTGGAAGCGAAGGCTTTGTGATATTGATAGAATAATGATCGGCCATATTGAATGTGCAGGTCGGTGATTAAGGCCAGATAAGCGTCGAGTTCGATGCGGCGTTCGGGGTAGAGAGTGCAGATGACATCTCTGTAAACGCCAAATGCGGCCACAAATTGCCCGAAGGATAGGTCCTTTGAAAGACGGGGATCCTAGGATTTGAAAATCGCAGGGAAGTCCCCTGACGTAGCCACGCTTTGATCGACTTCGGGGGAGGGTAAGAGGATGGTGGCTAGATTGATGTATTGCCCCTGGAGAATCTTAGCGCGGAGTCTCGGAGAGACATTAGCGCACCGAGGCGTGTAGGGCATGCCTGAATAAGGGGAGGGGTGGGAGAGGGGGTGAGAGAAAGAAAAGAGAGAGAGGAGGGTAGAGGACCGATTAGCTGGAGAGCGCTGAGAGAGGGCGGCAATATGAAGAAGCCGAAGAGGAAAGAAAAGGAAAAAAAAGAGAAAAGAAAAAGAAGAGCTTACCTAGAAGGGGTGCGGGACGGGCAGTGGCGAGGGTGGAAGCCGTGAGTAGAGCTTGAGGGGCGGGATGAAGAGAGGCGAGAGCGGAAGTGGAGGGAGCCGTGGAGGGGTTGACGGCGTCTGGAATCCCGCGGTGGAGAAGAGCTGATAGAGAGGATATGGAACGCTGGAGAGAATCCATGGAGGAGATGAGTGAGGACGTGAGGAGGTTTGGACCAAAAGTGAAGAGCGTGGTCATGAAGACGGCCCGGGAACTTCCGGCGTCGTGACCGGAGCGTGGGAGGAAGGAACGGGAGCCGGAGGAGGGGAAGGGCTCGGTGAGTGGGAGGCCGGCTGGGAAGGGGGGGGCGGCCCCTGTGGCGTTTAGCAGGAGGGGCGGCGGACTTGCTGGTTCTCTTCCTGCCGGTCGGTGGGGGTGAGGGGGTAGTTTGAGGAGGAAGTCGCAGAGGCGACTCGCTGGATGGCAAAAGGGCTGCTAGCGCCGCTGTCTGCGGAGACCGCAGGCCGGCGACCAAGGCGATGCCTCTGGATCGGAGGAAGGAAACGGGAGAAGGGCGTAGGACGTGAGGTCAGGCGGGTGCTGCGGCGAAATGGGGAAGATGTAGAGGGGGGAACGAGGTCCCCGAGAAGAGCGGCCGGGGAACCCGGTAGGCAATCGGACTCGATGTCGGACATGAAACATGTCCGACAGACTAGAAACATCAGCAGTGCGGAAGGTTCTGAGGAAGGTCAACGCGCGGAAAGCTGCAGGTCCGGACAACATTCCAGGTCTGCTAATCAAGGAATGCTCGGACCAGCTGGCCCACGTGCTCACGGACATCTTCAACACGTCCCTGGACCAGGCTGTTGTCCCACGGTGCTTCAAGTCTGCCACTGTCGTTCCGGTCCCGAAGTCCACCACCATCACATGCCTTAACGACTTCCGCCCCGTCGCACTGACATCCACCATCATGAAGTGCTTCGAAAGACTTGTTAAGGACCACATCATCTCCACGCTCCCCCCATCACACGACCCGTTCCAGTTTGCATACCAGTCCAAGCGCAGTGCTGAGGATGCAGTCTCCACTGCTCTCCACCTGAGCCTGGAGCATCTGGAGGAGAAGAACACCCACGTGCGGATGCTGTTCCTGGACTTTAGCTCAGCGTTCAACACCATCATCCCCCAAGACCTGGTGGGCAAACTGGGCCCCTTAGAAATTAACACCCCCCTCTGCAACTGGCTGCTGGACTTCCTCACTGACAGAACCCAGGCTGTCTGAATGGAGAACAACACTTCCGATGTCATCACCCTGAACACCGGCACCCCTCAGGGCTGTGTCCTGAGCCCCCTGCTGTTCACCCTGATGACCCACGACTGCCGTCCACACTTCAGATCCAACCACATCCTGAAGTACGCGGACGACACCACAGTGGTGGGCCTCATCCGGGACAACAACGAGACGGCCTATAGGGAGGAGGTGCGGCATCTGGTGGACTGGTGCAGAGGAAACAACCTGATCCTGAATGTCAACAAGACCAAGGAGATCATCGTAGACTTCAGGAAATCCAGACCCACCCACACACCACTCCTCATCAACGACTCAGCCGTGGAGGTCCTCAGCAGCACCAAGTTCCTGGGGGTGCACATCAACGAAAACCTCAGCTGGTCTCCCCACATCTCCTCACTGGTGAAGAAGGGCCAGCAGCGCATGCACTTCCTGCATCGGATGAAGAGAGCATTCCTCCCGCCCCCCATCCTTCAGACCTTCTACAGAGGGACCATCGAGAGCCTACTGACCAGCTACATCTCCATCTGGTCTGGGAGCTGCAGGGCCTCTGACTGGAAGTCTCTACAGAGGGTGGTGAGGACAGGGGAGAAGATCACGGGGGCTCTGCTCCCCTGCATCAAGGACATCGCAGAGAGGCGCTGCCTATCTCGCGCTCACCAGATCCTCTCCGACCCCACCCACCCCAACCAGGGACTGTTTTCCCCCCTGGCGTCTGAAAGAAGGTTCCGCAGCATCTTGTGCAGAACAACCAGACTACTGAACAGTTTCTTCCCCCGGGCCATCAGACTGCTTAACGCCACATAACACCCCTCCACACACACACACACACACACACTCACAAACCAAACCACCCCCCCATGGACATGGTCAATACATGCACTTTAGTTTACTTTTTTTCACAACACTGAACCTGTGTATTCTATGGCACTTGTATTGTATTTATTTATTTATTTATTTATTTATTAGGTAGTATAAGGTTTTAGCTCTGCTACACTGGTAGCCAAGTAACGACATTTCGTTGTCAAGATTCACCTTGTGTTTTTTTTGTACAATGACAATAAAGGAAGTCTAAGTCTAAGTCTAATGATTCGTGCGGCATGAGCTCGGCTGACAAGCAGAGGCGTCCTTGGCTGGAGATCCTTTTCAGTTGGGATTCTGAATGATGGCAGGGCATGACACGGCTTGGTTCGGTGATGATTGGTCGAGGCGATGCATGACGTGCGCTGATTGGAAGCTGCGGGGTGTGGTTAAAGAGTCTTCCAAATTGAATTTACGCCTAGGCTCCATTACGCAGACGCACCCTAAGAGGCGTTAAACAAGTTTTTGTGCAGTGGAAAAATTGGCCTCAGAAGCTTAACAGCTGTATTAATCTGGCTGACTTTCAAGACGTATAAAAGACACCTGCGGAAAAAACACTTGTCTCACAGCGTCATGCAGCGTGAGGAGGAGGAAGGATTTTACGTCACTCTACCCTCGAACGCGAGTGTAAATGTTTTTAAGGATAATACCATTTCGAGTTTTCGCGTAAATTTAGCGCAGCATATTAATTTAGAAGGTTCCTGGCAAGTTGCCTTGACAGAAATTTCTTATCCTCACACTTGGCAAAATGTCCCGGAAGAATCGGCTTACTTTGAGTGGAGGACTGTGGATCAGAAAAAGCCTGTTCGACAAAATATTTTGCCCGGATATTACAGAAACATAAAGCATACTGGTTGGAGAAATCGAACCTATCCTCAGAGAAATAAAAGCTGACATGTACTTACGCATTTACACGTTTGTAAATAAATTATTCTTTGAAGCAGGAGGACGATATCAATTACGTTTTCAAGCTCCTATTGCTTACATGCTGGGGTGGAAGCGAACGAATGGATCGCTTTTGATAAAACCAGATTGACTCATCCTATGGATATGAAAGCAGGATTTTACATGATTTATTGTTACAGCGACGTGGTCGAACAGCAAATAGTGGGAGATAGTTATTCTCCTATGCTGCGTACGATTAAAGTAGAGGGTGAATTTGGGGATATCATCACTCAAACTTTTAATCCAGCCGACTATCTTCCTGTGGCAAGGAGGCATATTGAAACGATTCAGATTGAACTGAAAACCGACCAGAACGAGCCGGTAAATTTTACCTACGGAAAATCAATTGTGAAATTGCATTTTCAACCTGTGAGGCCGCGTGGAGGCTTGAGATACTAACTGTTTGATCTCTGACCAGAAACAAATGTATAAAAATCGGATGATTACACGATCATCATTCATACCTGCTCACCGCTGCAGCCCGAAAGAGAGTATTTACCTAAGCAGAAGGATTGTATAAAACTGCTGAAACATGACTCAGATAAATCTGAGAGATGATCCTCACCGCTTTGTACATTATTACCATGACCAAGTTAGGGTTCTGTCCAGGAGAGCGAGTCAGACATATACAAATACGCAGAGCACTTAAGCGAAAGAAATCAAACGGGAAAAGGAAGGCTAAGGCGAGGAAGTCCGCTCCTAACAAGGATATATTTCATTAAAAAATATATATAAATATATAGAGAGAATGGCTCTTTTACATCATAAATCGCCCGAATGCACCCTGGCAGAGTTGGATTTATTTTCAGCCCCTATGACGCAGTTATCTATAGAGGACAAAACGTACACAGAAATTTTACCACTTTCAGCTCTGACAGACAGCTCACCAATAGTTTTTAATACCCAGAGGATCTAAGTACGTGGATTTGACCGATACTCTGCTTCATCTACGTGTCAAAATCACCAATGATGGTAGTCAGCTGGAGGATGACGAGGCTGTGGGTTTAATTAATTATCCTCTTAACACAATATTTTCGCAATGCGACATCACTTTGGGAGACTGTTTGATATCTCAGTCCAGCTCCACTCACCCATACAGAGTGATAATTGAAACTTTGTTAAACTTCTCAGAAGATACCCTAAAATCACAATTTAGCGGAGTTTTTTTTTTTTTACAAAGACACAGCGGGAGCCATAGACTCTATCGTTGTAAATAATGGTCCAAACGGCAGTTTGAATAAAAGGACTTCCTTCATCGGTGAATCTAGAGAACTTCACCTGCTGGGAACGCAGATATATTCTTCTGTGAGAGGGCGCTGTTTAATTCTGTGGATTTGAGAATTAAATTAACATGAGCCAGCAATGCATATTGTCTGATGGGAGCCCGTGACTCAACTTTTCGATTGAAAATATTGGGCGCTTCACTTTTTGTTAAAAAAGTGTCTGTTTCACCATATCTCAATTCCACTCTTGGCATGGATGTGGGAACACTGCCGTGGCTACCGAGGTAGAAAGGCGTTGTGGGAAATGTAGTTTTTGGTCAAAGCACGCTCTTAATTTATTTTTTGGTATTTATTTTTAGATACTCAAAACTTTTAAGCTCTCGCGGGCCACATAAAATGACATGGGGGGCCACATCTGGCCCGCGGGCCATGAGTTTGACACGTGGCCTAATCGGCTCTCCTCATTCGTCGTTTCAGACGGATAACCGCTGGCTTCCTGTTTCCCCTTCAGAAATGTGTGAATATAGTCTTTAAAGATCGAGCTACTGCTTCTCTGAAAATGCCAGACCTCTGTGATTTTCCCAACACGATACCCACACTGTAAGGCTTTTTTAAATTCCTCAGTCACCCAGACACCTGTGAGAGCCCGCTCCTCATCGTTATGTGCGCAGGGCCCTGTTTGATTGTTAGTCTCTGCACAAGTGCGACACAGAGTGAAAACTAGTTTACTTTGAGATGTTTTGTAGGGCAGGACCTGGAAAAAAAGACCTCTAGGACGAAAAACAATTTCTCTGATAAATCCAAAGTAGTTTTCAGGGTCGTCAAACTCTTTGTAAATGATGCTGGGGTGACCTAATGGATACTCAAAAGCAGAGTTTCTGTACGGGTAGAGAGAGGTGAAATCCACATAATACACAGACTCACCTGGCCCTGCTGTGTATCTCAATTTCAGAGCACAAGTTCTCCCCCCATACAGAGCTTTTCAAGGTGACAAAGGTTCTGGCGCAGCAAATTTCTCCCAAGAATCTGATCACCCCTGTATGAGACTTTTTCATGTCATTCCACTCATGCTCCCACACTGTTTCAAGTCGAATACTGTAAACAGTTTGCAGAATCTTAGATCTTTCGATCGTAGCTGCATAAATCTGATCAAACTGTACTTTTCTCAAAGGACAGATTTCAGTGGGTTGAAAACAACACGGGCACCCGTGAAAAAAACACCCCTCGAAAGAGAACCCTGTGCCTGAACCCTGTGCCTGAATCCAGAATGACCGCGAACCCATCCAGAAAATAAGGTCCAATTTTGCGTTCACCAGAATTCAATGCGTGTTGAATGTGAATGTTTCTACTGCTCATGATCCACTCTAGCCATTGAATGAATGTGTTTG